AATATAATAAACTGATATGTGAACTCTGGAGAAGAGAAAACAACATAATAAACAGATATTTGAACTCCGGGGATTTTAGAACTAACTTTTGGACCTCAGTAATGCCTTTTCATATTTGTGGTCATTCCAGTAACTTACTTTTTTTTCTTTCAAGGTCCCTTACCTAATTTTCCATATCAATACTTAGTTCTTCTACTGAAGTTTTTGTTTATGATCGATGGAAGATAATATCAATCTCACAAGGCTTCACTGATAATTGTAATTTTCTTAGCGGAACAGTATCCTAGAGAATACAGCTATTAAGGCTTCCAGGTTCAAACTACCAGTTATAACACCTGAAGATAGCTGAATAGTTTAGGCATAGAAGTATCAACCTGAAGATTCCAGGTTCAAACTACCAGTTATAACACCTGGAAAGAGCTGATTTGCTTCAGTGTAGAATGTTACCTAGTGGATTAGTCAAGGTACCTAAGCTGGCATGACACCACTAGGGGACTCACATTATCAAGTAAATGATGTAGCATTGGCTGGAGAACTGGAAAGCGCACACAATAATCTAATGCCTTTGAGAAGAAAAAAAAGGAACAAGTAACATAGTGATCTAATATTTCTGAATGAACAATCCAATTTCTTATTTGATGAACTTCAAGATTGAAGGTTTGACAACACTACTTTGTTTTCAATTGGTAGCATTGGGTGTGAAAATCCTTCAGCCAGTAAATTAAGTAGAATAGATGTTGCCAATGTACAAATCACGCAAGTTTTTACTCAAATCATGCTGCAGAAACCTTTTAAGAAAAAGAACGAAACCCTAAGTTAAGCCCAAATGAAATAGTTAGCTTATTTTTGTCCATCCAAGTTAGCAACAAAGCACTTCGAATCACTATTATAACAATGATTAGACACATCAAACTCCATTAAACTATTTACAAATAATCACTAACGGAAAAATTCCTCGTATTAATAATAGTAACGGCAAAAAAATCGCATCTACATTACAGGATCAGAACAATCAACTCCAACAAGCACTATCTACAAAGTAAAACAATCCAAAACGTATTAAAGTAGAATAGCCAAGATCTCAGAGAGAATAACCTTCGCAGATCGTAGTTAGCAACTTCAAAGCAAATACAATCAACAAACCTATACAACTTGATTACTCCATCAGCGATTTACAAAAAATGCAATGTTTAGGGGCTTTAGTAATTCGAATGTACAATACTACCTCTTTAACATACCTATAAACTAATAAATAAACAGAGTAAGCGAAGATTGAGCATACCAGGAAAATGCGGTGAAATGATCGGGTAAAGCAGCAAATCGAAATGATTTTGAACTCTCCTCTTCAACGACAAGCAGATTTTAACCTACTAAACAATGGAGGATTTTATGTGTATAGTGAGTGAAGAGTAATAGACAGAGAGAGTAGAAAAGAGATATTTGTAACCGGCGAGAACAGTAGAATGAGACGGCGCTATTTCACACCAAAATTGGGCCGGCAGCACGGGATATGTACATGTGACCGCGGAGCAGAGGGAGTCCAAGGACATAAATTCGCAATTTTCGCGTTGGCGAAATTACCCCTATGTCTTTGTCAAAATTACCCCTATGTCTTTGTCAAAATTACCGACACTCATACTAATTCTGTTTTATTTTAATTATCGTTTCAGTTCAGATAAAGAGCATGAATACATTTGATATAAGATGCGGTAGAGAAAAGAAAAATTAAAAACTAAGTTTCCAAGTGTGGTAATTTCAATTGTTAATCGTGACGTAATTAAATATTGTGCATATTTTTTTAATATATATTGAAGAGTATAGTTAAACATATTTTTCAAATTTTAATTTCTTAAGATAAAAATTTTTGAGATAACTTTTGAATTAAAACGATGGTAAAATAATTCCCCCTGCTTATGAAAGTTGAGACTTCATTTTGAACTGACCTTTCAACAGAAGAAAAGCAATTTTTGAATTTGGTGCCACCACATCATTTGAGTAGGACTGTTTCTCCGCTAATTAATTTGTTATTAATGTGTTTAAATAAAAAATAGGAAAGACTTTAATTAGACAATAATGCTCTCATATCATTTACAATTCAAATTTGAATTGTGAAAGAACTAAAAGATGTTGTTAATCACTACCAAAAATAAACTAAAATGATTACATGATAAACTGTTAAATACAGTAAGGAATCAATAATTGGCCGGACTGCCAAAATTATATTTTATCTTTTGGGTTTGTGTACTTCAACGGCATAATCTTGATAGTAGTTGAGATCCACAAATGATAATTATCTATTTTTATTTTCTGTTGTTATATCCGAATATAATATATAAGTAAAAAAAGAGTATATTTATTTATGTATTTTTAGAAAAGGGTTGGATTTGTCATTCGTCATACTTTTTTTTTTTTGATATACTTATCCCTATTATCCAATTTTTGGCAAATATTTGTTCTTAAACCGTTAAGTGTCATGTCTCTTACTTTTATCATCCTACATGGCGCATCTGTGGCATATCTACATGGATTCCATTAAAAATTTCTTCCTAATTTAATTATTAAATCAATTCATTATCTTAAACACAACTCTTAATATTATTTCATAATAAAAGTGAAAGACATGATACTTAACAGTTTAAGGGTATCTATGTGTCTAAAGTTAAATATTAGGAGTAAATATATCAAAAAAGTATGATAAAGGGCAAATCTAATCCTTCTCGGAGTAGAGGGATAGATATTACCCTTTGCCAATATATAAATTATATACGACATAACTACTTGTACTATTTTTTTCCTGATCCACAAATGTTAATTATATACTTAGCAAATGATCTAAAAGTAATACTAAATAAGACAACCGTTACAGTTTAGGGAATCAAAATTTGGCCACAATATTAATAAAATTATCATATGATTGTTGAGATCCACAAACTAATAAATATGTACTTTTTTTTCTTTCTTTTCTTATTTTGAATGAGATTGAGTCAATTTCTACTGTTGCTTTAAAGACCTTTGTTATTTGCAAAACTATGTAGTGATTTGTTTAATAGTATAATGATTCAACTGATTTGGTGCCTGTACAATTGGTGATTTCCCTTGTGTTTGATTTTTATAAGTTGGAGACTTTATCATCTAACATTAGATTATAATTGCTCTGAGTCTATAATTTTGTTGTAAATACTTCTAGTAGTTTAAAGTTTTGAAACAATGATAAATTTAATTTTATTTTTATGTGACCTTCAAACCGTGAAAATAACTACTAATATTTAAAACATGTGCGTCACACATTTTAACTTTAATTTATTAATTTTAATTCGATAATACAAATGATATCATATCATATTGAAAATGTGTCAGTTCACAACCTTACAGCCATATTGGACATGAATGATGACCCATCCCATCTGATTTTTTTTCTCTTATAATTGAGCAAAAAAATGTGAGTCAGCACATGGGATGCCTCACTGGCCACTGGAAGCAAATGGTCACTCATCAAATTAAGCTAAGAAAGCACGAACTCTATTGACTATTCCATTGTCTAGTCTATACTATATAGGTAGTACGCACATTGGACATATATTCTCACATACTATATATTAGCATTGCACATGGACACTGCAATTGTGGCTAATCAGATCAGTTTTGTTCTTTTGTTTTAGGACATTGTGTCCTTGAGAAAAGATAGGGATATTCTTCCATGGCACAACACAAATTATATTAGCTATAATACATAAATATGACCATTAACTTAATGTCAGTTGGTAATTATGATCCTTAACTTTAATTTTGGATATGTACAAATAGCCACTTAAACTTGTATAAAGTTGAACAAGTAAACACATGTATCCTACATGGCATGATACACGTAGGACGTCATGTAGGACACAAAATTTTCATGTAGGACGAATGTGTCAATTTGTTCAATATTATACAAGTTTAAATATTTACTTGTGCACATCTTAAGTTAAGGGTCATCGTTGTCAAATGACGCCAAGTTAAGAATTATGTTTATGTATTATGTCATTATGTCAAAGGAGAGAAAGGCCATACATATTATTTGTCCAGATTTTATTTACTCTTTTAAAAGCCTTAGAGATTATTGTTATTGAAAACAATAATTATTTTATCTAAAAATTTAACTCAATTGAAAGAACATAATTTAACTAGATTGAAATCTCACACATTTATTTACTCAATTGGATCTTCAACAAGTGCGTAAATGAAATAAGTAAATGGGGCAGATGCGGGATGGATCTACTGTGGTCATTAAGGAAAAACAAAATGTCATGGGCTATAAGGTCTATTTTGTGCTTCTGCTGTACCCATATTTCAATAGTGCCCATCTCTTTCAATTTATTTGAATAAAACGTTTTTATGACAATTTTTAGTTTCAGTTTTTTATATGACATTTAAAAGATATATACATTCGATATCTTTAAAAACACACAAAATTTAAAAATTTTCTTTATTTTAAAAAAATTTGTGTCCAAATCAAAAATCAGATAAATAAATTGAAACGGAGAGAGTATTTATTTAATGAGACTATAATATTATAACAAAACATTGATTTAGACAGCAGCTGTTGGTAACATGGAAGTGCTGATTCTGTATACAAAGCAGAAATTGAATAAAATCTATTGAGTTTTGCTGAACCCCAATGTGGGCTACAGCTCATTCACTTATTATACACTCGATCGGAACATTGTAGTATGCAAATAGGGAAATATTCTACTCTTGAATCCTAACGTTAGACATGTCACCAATTATTAGTATATGAACTCCTCTTGTATTCGATCAAGCACGTAATTTGAACATGTAGTAAAAATAATAGATGAGAAATATATGAAGAAACATCAAGAATCAGAACTAAATCAAGAGAATAAAAGCTGCAAAAGCATATTAATAGATGTTTAAATAAGAAGTTGGAATTACGACACTTATTTCATCATACAAAGCGCGCGTAGATAAGAAAAACTGTAATATAATATTCTAAAATTCAATTAAGACCAGAACCATCCAATAGGCTCTTCTCCTTGTTCATGGTGCTGCTCTTCTGCCACAAAGACGTTAGAGAAGTAGCCATGGCAACTGCCATGATCATCACTACCATCATCTTCCTCCGATTGTAAACCATCCATGGGTGGAGGAACATTGCATCCTCCAGGCCCTGGATACTCCTCATGATCAGTGTGAAAATATGAGTCCCCACTGTCCACCAGCTGTGGACTATGCTCATCTACCACCGCGCTCCCACCACTGCCACTGCTCAACCGGTCCTCAGCCTTCACCTTCACTTGAAGGATCGTCATAGCATCCACCTCCAAGATGTCAGATTTTTCATTTCCCCCTGCTCCTCCAACCACTTTCCCCTGTAACTTTTCCATCAATGAAACAACCTGCATTTTTCCCCAATTAACAAAATAGTTTCAAATCTATTACTATATACAACAACTTAATTACTTGCACGCTATCATGTAAGCTAAAAAGATAAAATCACATTTAGTGGGATTAGCAACCTCGAATACAAGCCAAGTCAGGTGTACCTACTATACAATAAGTTGTGATAAACTTATATATAAAATTTGATTTGATGTGTGACGTAAATGCGCAAGTCTTACAATGTATACCAACTCTTTGACGTATTATGAAGAGTTGCCAATTGTTATAAGTCAACTTAGCGTAATATTGTAAAAAAAAAAAATATGCTGTTGATAACCCTATTATTACATCACTTTTAAAAAAACGAAGGTGCAAAATAAAAGCAAAAGAATAAATTAGTAAAAGTTTACTAAGAAATAACAGTAGCGTAACTCTGATAGTGATACATCCACTATCTATATAGTAAGGTCTTCATCACTACGCATATTTTAAAGCAAGTTTTCCCAATATATCAAAAGTATATTCGCTTTTTTTGAAATTGAAATCCAAGTAATAGAAAAAAACATTGAAAGTGGGGGGGTTAGAACAGATGCTACTTTATTTATTTGACTCTGATGCAAGATGACTCAGAAGGACATTGACAGATATAATTTTCTATTCTAGGTGAGGAAGAATATTGTTTGTGAGGTTCCCCACTACTAATATTGATGGCCAGGTGTTACACAGAATATGACCTCAAATTAAAAGTCAGATTAAAATTTCTACCAATTACCAACTTCGCCGACAAATTTCGTCAACAAACATATCTTAATATTCTACTATATACTACAAAAAAATTATCATAGACTCTCTCCTAGCTAGTTTTTATTCAGTAAGGCATCATATTATTCTACATATATATCCGACTCCCCAGTGTTACAAGAAAGGCGGCTTTTTGTCATTGATCAAATCGTTGCAAGACAGGTGTGTTATCCAAGATTTGTTAATTCTTTCTCATAGAGTATTGCAAAAGCTAAGGCCTTAAGGACATAGTATTAATAGATATGCCAAAAATCGACCAGAAAAATCGATGTTAAGAGGTTGGTACAAAGTATAATAGAATCTAAGCAAATAAAATGATCACAACACTATTACTATATGGTTATACCTCAGATTTGAGCTTATCGTTATCTTTGCGAACGGAGTCAAAATCAGAGAGAAGGGAGTCATAAGAGGATTTGAGCTGATCATAATCCCTCTCGAGCTGCTTGGTCTTCCACCGGGCACGGCGGTTTTGGAACCATACAGCCACCTGTCTGGGCTGCAGCCCCAGCTTTTTGGCCAGCTGGGTTTTGCGCTCGGGCTCCAGCTTGTTTTCTGTCTCAAAGCTCTTCTCCAACAAGTGCACCTTCATTTACGTACCCAACAACGCAGGACATGCACTTATTGCTCAGCAAGTAATCGAATCCCACAAAATTATAAAATTTTGCTTAAAGAAAACGCTCGTTGATAAAAAAGAAATTCTCTTCTTTTCAGGGTTTAAAGGTAGATATTGTGAAGAATTTGATGCTATAGTGGTGAATATGTTCCAATATAATTAAAAACTTAAATCACTTTAGAGGGAATCTTCTTTAGTTACTTAATTATAATTTGACTAAACAAATCGTTTCACATGTAGTGGCCAATTGCCAAAAATATGTGATGGTGAGATTTGAACCAAAAAATTTAACTATCTTGATAGCTAGGAGATATATGTCACAGTATGTTGAATTGATAACTACTCCATCGAACTATTAAAAAAACGCATTTACTTAATTTATATTTTTGGGTAGATAAAGGAGGAACAGGATGCTAACCTGCTCAGGAGTGAGACGGCGCTTCTTCTCCGGTGACTGCTCGTCGTAGTATTCCTCGTCATATAGATCCTCCGGCGAGCTAAAGAAGGGTCGCCTCTTCGAGGAGTCCTCCATCTTCATCATCGTCGATCTTGGTCCTGTATCAATCAATATAAGTCAAGCTTCAAAATAGAATAGTATAAAAGGCCACCCTTAGAACTTACATGCAAAAAGGTTGTTACAATTTTATCATTATTTTTACTGTACTAGAGATAATCAATCTATAAAAACAATACCCTAAGTGAATTGAATTTAAAACTATCTATCTGAAACAACTTATAAAAATATGTACGAAGGATCTACGTATATCTTAACCTCTTCGTACACTGAAATTATAAATCATCTATCGCAGGTTACCCTACAAGTTAACCGCTTCGTTTCATCTTGTACGATTCAGAATAAATTAACTTGGACAAAATATTTCTATACTTGTTTTGGTTGTAAATTTGAATAATAAAATTTACATCATTCAAAAAAATTAAATCAGATCAAGACGAATTTCACTTTCTAGTGATAGTGTTACTCATATCATATACATACTTTACTTTCAATTTTAATAGTGGAATTGAGTCATCAAAAAAGTTCTTAAATTATATTTTCATAGTAATATAAGTAATTGGAATAGAGAACATAATGATTAGAGAATACCTCGGAAAACAGGATCTCCGCTCCCAAGGAACAGCATGTTGCCGTGACACGACGACGGGTCGAAAAATATATGCCCAGATCCCATATTTTCAACTATCTGGAAAATCGCCTATTTACACACAGAAGATTATTTATATGTTTCCGGCGAAACAGAAAAAGGAAAACAAAAACTCCAGCACAGAGTTCTTCTTTTTTAGCAGGGATGTGTATGAAAAAAGAGAGTTGACTAAGTTTTAGAAGAGCATAAGCTTGTGGCGGAAGAAACTAGTACTCCACAGTAATCTAGCAGGAGTTTCCAAAGGACAAATACAAAATCCCATCACGAAATCCACCTTAACCAGCTCAGGGGTTTTCCCGTTTTCAGATTAAATAGAAGCAGTTAGAATAACTACTTCTTCCGATCGGAGGTTAATTATTTGACCTCCGAACTAGAAAAAAAAAGTTTTAACGGCCGGCGACAGTGAAAATAAGATTCCGGCGAGGGCGTATTATGTGATTTTGTCTCTATATATATGTGCTGTTTTGTAAGTTTATTTTGCGACTAAAGTTGATAGAGGTGAACGATGAGGATATTATAGTGAACGGAGGGTATTTTGGGTAATATAAAAATGAAGCATGATATTGATGGGGGGAGTGACTAACTTGCGCCGTGAGTGTCTGGAAGGGGGTATAGTTTCTAGAAATATTCATTGATTGTTTAATGGGGAAAATTAGCATATGTGCCAGATCAGGGAAGAGAGTGTGTGGCCCCCAGAGGAGCCATTCCCCGCGGTCGGGAGTTTGTCGGATGGATGGAATGGCTGTGTCAGTGTTTCCTCTTTACCGTCTGATTCATTTTTATCATGTGATCCTTATTTTGCCAAATCTAGATTTATACATTCAAGTTGGAATTTTGTGAGTAATTAATTTCTCTATGTCAAAAAAATTATAAAAGGGAACATTGAAGTCGGTTTTCATTTCGATTGACAATTCACTTATAATAGAAATATAACTGTAAAACACTCCTAATTAACTATTATGAGTCTCAAAGTTGACTTAGTAAAATTTTGTATGTTCAAAAAAATGTAAATATTGAAGATAAAGATGTTTAAATTGATATGTGAATATTATGAGAAATAGAACAAAGTGGTGGATAAAATAAGAGTGGTGAGCATCACATAGTTTTGAATATGTATATAAAAAAAATGTATAAATATTAGAGCAATTTTTAAATATAATAAATACAAAATTCATATTTATATGTAATAGCAAAGTTTATATAATTGTGCTTCATAAAAAATATAAATATGTATAATTCGCTATACATATACAAAGAAACCAACTGTATAATTCGTTATACATATATACAAGTAATTAGTTGTATACAAATCAATTGTATATTTTGTGTATGTATAAAACGAGAATGAGAGGAAGAAAAAATAAAATTGGGCAGGAGAATATTTGTATTGTATAATTATAAGTGTGTATGACGAAGATATATGTATTTGCAATTGTATATACAATTTTCTCTCACTTTATACAAACAGAAACGCAATTTATACATTTCGTTTATGTTTGTATAAGCGATAGAGGCGAGGGTGACGAGCGAGATCTGGGAGAGGGGAGAGAGGAGAACGAAAATATATGTATACATACAATTTTTTCTCGTTTTATACAAACAAACAAAAAAAATTTACACACTTGTGTTTGTATAAAAGTGAGAGAGAGCAAGCGAGAGAGGGAGAGTAGCGAGCGAGAGTTTGAGGGAGAGAGGTGACTGACATACAGTTTGCTAAAGGGTACAATTAAATTAAAATGTGATTATAGTATTTAATTTTGATTTGTTAGTTTGTCATTATATACAATTTTTCTTAAATATTTTAATGAAGTGGTGCAAGAGGTAGGTTATGCGATTTGAAGAAAGTAGAGATGGGTAGAAAAAAATATTGAATAGATGTAAAGATATGATATGAAACTTGATCTACAACTATTTGATTTCATGATATAAAGGTCGAAGAATAATTTAGACAATGTGTAGATAAGTTGTCGAGCATTATTTTCCTTATCGTTATTTAAAAAGAATTACTTTTTAATTTGTAATTAAAAATTCAAGTAAACTATTATTATTTCACCTAAAATAATTGATAATTATCTTGATTTAAGATCCTTAAAACTTCCTCTTGGATAATTATTTTGATTTAACATGTAAGAGGAAAACTTCGTAAGCTTACAATTAAAAACTAATTAGTGGTAGCTAATTAGTTATTTTCCAGTGGAGGTTACAACGGAGGCGTGTTGTAGTGCGTTACAGGTGATCAAATTTTGATGCCTTGGTCTCCTCATATTCCCAACTACCTTTCTAACAGCCCCTTTTGTGGGACCCAGGGAATCAAAAACTCCTTTCCGTTTCCCTTGGTGGGGAAATAAAAGGTAGCATCAAGCTTTAATTACTGACAACTTTCGCATAACAAATAAAAATTTATATTTATATACTATAGTAAAATTTATATAATTGCGCTTCATAGCAAACATAGAAATGGTATAATTCGCTATACTTATACAATTGAAGCAAATGGTATAAAATGAAGTATATAAATCAAGAAAGAGAAAGACACTTGGACAGAGAACTGTATGAAAATGAAGTGTATAAGACGAATTGTATTATTATAAGTGTATAGAACAATTATATACAATTTGAATTTGTATAAAATGAGAAAGAGAGAAAGATAAAAGAGACTTGACAAAGAATATACAATTGAATCGAATTGTATAAAACGAGAAAGAGAGAAATTGGATACAATTTGAAAATTGTATAAAACGAGAAAGAGAGAAAGGCAAAAGAAACTAGGCAGGAAAGTATTTTTATTGTATAATTGTAAGTGTATAGGACGAAAATATATGTACTTGCATGTTTATATACAACTTTCTCACGCTTTATACAAACCGAAACGCAATTTATACATTTCGCTTCTGTTTGTATAAGTGAGAAAGGCGAGGGTGGCGAGCGAGATTTGGGAGAATGGCGAGTGAGATCTGGAAGAGGGGAGAGAGGGCAACAAAAATATATGTAGTTATATAATTTTCTCTGCTTTATACAATTAGAAACAATTTTTATACACTTGTGTTTATATAAAAAGTGAGGAAGCGAAGAGAGATTGGAGGAGAGTAGCGAGCGAGATATTTGGGAGAGAGGCGCGTGACAATTTTTTGCAAACGTTTGCTATGGAGCACAATTAAATCAAACCCTAGCTACTCTATTTATTTTAGATTATTAGTCTGCTATTATATACAATTTTCTCTTTAATTATTAACGGCAATTAATATTTAAATGTTGTTAATTAGGAGTATATATTTTAGCTATAGTTGATATTTTTTGTGTATATCTCTAAAAGTCTTTAGTAATATTGATTTCAATGACACTTAACGAATATCGGTAAAGACTTTAACACTTTTTATTAAAATCAATATTTAATGTTACTAAAAATTATTTTTGTTATAGTGATATAAAATTGATAATTAATCAAAAATCTATATTATAAAATATTTTTATTTTTTTTATCGCTTACAAACTGAAGTAATAAATTATAAAGGATGTAACACTTTCTAAGAATAATAATCTTCACTCAGAACTTAGAAGAGTTTATTCGAACATTAAGATAATGTCAACGTATAACAAATCGAAAAAAGATGAGATTAGTTGTACTACAATAAAAGATTTAAAATAGAGTAAAGGGTTATAAATGCTTGAAAAATTATGTTTATACAATTAGAAATATACATTTTATATATTTTTAAAAATATACAATTAAAATGATTATTTCAGTATATATATTGATCTCATTTCGTCATTTGATTTTTTATTTACACTATTTTCTATTCATTAGCAATTCGTTTTTTCTTTCACTTTCGATGATTACTAATCAAAGTCGAATACTATTACATTTAAAAGGGTTTAGTAGGTGAACGAACATGTTCTTCGAGACTTATCAATGATGTCCTAAAATTTTATATATGTTAAATTTTTATTAAATTCAAATTTTGCTATACGCATAATTTTTCAGGTATTTAAAATCACCTAACCTCAATTTATTTTACATATATCTTAGAATAATTATTCTTTGAAACAGTTAAGTTTATTAATTTCAAGGACTAACCACAGACTTCAAATAGTAGAAGGTGAATGTGCCATAACACAAACTAAAAGAAGAATATGTAATAATACATGGATTAAAATTACTTTTTTCCATTATGGTATTAATATTTAAATTAAATATCAAGATAATCATACTAAATTCTTCTTTATTATTTACTCAATAAAAGGATTTAAAAATATATTAAAGTTGAATTTGATATTGTATAAATTGATGCGTTAAAATTCAAAAATTTTAAAATACAACATGAATTTATTGAAACTTTTACTAAAATTACGATAAATGGTAAATCTCAGTTCATATTTAAAAAAATTAGGCTCACATAATTTTATTTTTTTTTAAAAAAAAAACACAAAATGTTATGATTGACCAATAAAATTTAGGTTGCTTGGATGGTGGGGTCACGTAGTCAATAAATCCAAAGTGGAAGTATGATATGGATCTTTCTACTGAAAGAAAAAAAAAAAAAGGAAACCGTGTGGGAGACACGGAAGAATCTATTTCATTCGTGTTTTTTTTTTAAAAAAAAAGATTAACTAAAAACACCTCCAAATTTAGTAAATATTATTAGTTTTGTTTTTATATTATGGATAGTACTAAAAATATATTTTTATTTGATTAATTGAATTTGAATATATCATCAATTTTATAGTATGATTAAAACACATCCTAAAATTTTTGCAAAGTTAATGATTACTTTTAAAATTTCTCTCAACTTTTTATGTCGATCATAAATTGAGGATGTATCTAATTTCAATAAGTATTTTTATAACTGTCAATAATTTAAAAATAAAACAATAATTTATATCAAATTAAAAATATTTTCAATGATTCATCTTTTATTATGACATTTTAAAAGTCAAATTATATAAATTTAGATTAATATTTCATATTTGATATATTTTTTACTAATATATATGTTATAATTTTCTAAATACTAAATAATTTTAAGGCC